GTTCACATGAGCATTACTTTGGGGTGAAGGGTAGCAAATAGCCGGCCCCGTCCGACTATTGACATTTCCTTACATTATTTATTAAAGCCTTTGTCAGAAAAGCAAGTCCTCTTAAATTAGAAGACAAAATCGAGAAATTAATTGTTGGGCATATTATGCTAAAGTCAAATTTTACATGAAATAATCTTCAAACATTAATTTATATGTACCGTACTATCGATTCAAATAATAGGTATAGCTCCTAACAATTCATCCTTTATTAATTCAAAGTGCAAAGGATATTCGGAACTTGCAACATGATCTGTGAGATATTCGAAAGTTCGATTATGCTAATATGAAACCACATCAGAATATATAGACCCCGTAGAATCACGTTTGGTTTTATATGTTTAATTTCGACCCATATTAAAATGTTATTTTTAATGACAAACCCAAAAACATTTAATGGAAATAAAATAGCGTTTTTTTGTAAATATCCCAATTTACGCTAATTTAAAATGCTGAATCTACCCCAACGGTATTTTCTATAGTTTTTTTTTCCATTTTTTCTATAAATTTTCTAAAAACATTATATTTTAATTTATTTAATATGTAATTATCGACTTTTTAATAATGCTGCTTAAAATGTTAAAAGTTTATACGTGAAATACTTACTAAATTGAATGGAAATATTACAACAACATCAGTAAAAATACAAGAACCTGTACATCTAAATAAGTTTATTAGCTAGAGAATTCAAACTTTGCGACAGTTATTTATTTTGATATTCGATACCTATGGATCAAAGCTAGTTATGGGAGCTTCATATCGAAAACGCCATTGCCGAAGAGTGCCTAAATGCCGAACCTTCGTTGGGACACTTTAGAATGTAAATCTTATTATTATTACTAATTTAGTAAATTACCACATCTTTCTCAATTTAACAAAAATTTGAATCACAGTAACTTTGGCATGACCCCGACGTGATTTGAACACGCAACCTTCTGATCTGGAGTCAGACGCGCTACCGTTGCGCCACGGAGTCTTCTTGTCGTTCTAAATAAATAGAACTGTTTTCAAAGTAAACCTAAAAACAAAAAATAAACAACCAACAACAACAAAACCCACATTGCCTCTTTTATTAATAGAACACATCGAATATTAGCTGTTCTGTCGTAAAAAAGGAAAGTGAGTGAGTGAGCTGTGTGTCGACCATTGGTGGTGTACATGCCACCGGCACCACCCCTAACAACAAAACATTCACTATACAAATTGAATGACAGACAGCAGATACTGGTTACGCTGTGGGACAACAACAAATTATTGAAAATTGCTTATCTACTGAAAAAAAAAAAACAAAACGCTGTTATAAATTTTATAAAATTATCTGTGTCACGTTGAAAATAACACCAACAAACAACGCTGGATATTTATTTTGAACAAATTCGGTTTGATTTCGTTTAACTCTTTTTGGTTATTTTGTGGATTTCCGTTTGCATTATCACTAACTATAAATGTATCTTTTAGATACATGTGTACGAATGTATCTTGTAGATACCATGTCACAAATATATCTTATAGATGTATGTTTACGAATGTATCTTTCAGATGCATTTGTGTGTATGTAACTATAAAATATGTAAGACATTATGGCATATTTTGGGATCATAGATTCACAGGGTGTACCACAGATAATAAATTACAATTTGAATATACGTTCGATGGTTTGTGTCACGGCTATGTTTCTATGTTTTATGATAAAATTTATCCGATTACCTCCCGAGTAATCTGTGCATGGTCTTAACAGATTTTTTTGCTTATAAGAAGGAATAGAAAAACCCAGGAAGGAAAGTTGAAAATTCGGACGGGCCGACTATATGATACCCTTCACCACTTTGAACATATATAAGATATGCTAATATGATTCCTTTTTTAAGGCATAACCATCATTGTTGATCTGATTTTACGGACATCGACATATATAGATTATCGTTATCGGAATGTCTAAAACAGGTCGTTTGTAATACCATGACATAGATTACATTAAATGAATTAAATAAATTCATTTATTATATAGAAAAATGTACCCGGATATTTTACTTTTTGAGGTATTTGTAAGTTTATGGTCACACGTTCAAAACAAATTAGTAATATCATGAGACTCTATGTTGTAATAAATGTTTTTAACGGGGGTGTACTTATTATCATAGAGTGCCAAATCTTCCTCTAGTGGGGTAATAGTAATACTAAACACTATCATAACACATAGACACATTTAAATATTAGTTTGGGGAAAAAGCAATAAGTTATTTTTATATGAACTATAAGACTTCATTTAATTTGCTTCGGAAAGTTCGATTTGGGACAAATATACACCGTTTTGTTGTATGATTTTCTGCCATTTTAAAGGTAACTTCATAATGTCTCTCTCATAGAATTCATCCCCTCTATTTGCAAAAGACTCTAGTAGTCGCTTTTCACATACCCACCTAGATACCAATTTTTATCATTAAAGAAATTTTTCAATGCAATATGATAACAGATTGGTGCCAAGTCCGAACTGTATGGCGGATGCATCAAAACTTCCCAACCATGCTCCCAAAGTTTCTGGCGAGTCACTGTAGATGGAACACGACAACAGTTTTATGGCCGATGTTGCGACTGCTAAAATTCCGGTCAACTTCAATAATTTCTTCGATTTTATCGACATTTTCGACAACCGGCCTACATGTGAGTCGTGCATCTTTAACGCAAAAAATTCCTGAATCTACGAAACCAAAATTGCACGTAATTATATCTAAATCTGAACCGGTTTCAACACAACTTCACGGACATTGGATTTAAATCAGTATGCTGAGCAAAATTTTGTTCCAATTGGTCAAATATAAATATGAATCGATTTCACCAAAACTTCCAATACGTCAATCTGGACCTAATTCAGTACGTTGCGCAAAATTCTGTCTCAATCGAATTTGGTGCAATATTTATATCTATCTAAATCTGAACCGATTTAAATTAAACTTCACAGACATCAAACTGGACCTTATTCAGTAGGTTGTTCAAAATTTTGTCTCAATCGGACAAAAATTGGGAGTTTGGAGCACCATTTACCAAAAATCAGACGCAAATATATATGAGAGCTATATCTAAATCTGAACCGATTTCCGCAAAACTTCGCATACGTAAAACTGGACCTAATTTAGTACCCAGTGCAAAATGTTGTTTCAATCGGAAAATATTTGAAGTTTGGTGCACCATTTATAATAAATCGACTCAGAAAGTGATTCTATGCATATTCTCAAAAGAAACACAAACATATGCACACAGGCATAATACCCTGTACCACAGTGTGGTGAAGGGTTTAAAAATGACATTTCGGGAATTCACGAGCCCACCGGGCTACGTCGCAGAGAAGTAGTAATTATGAACAGAACGGTGATCCAAGAAACACGGCCCAAATAGTGTGAGCAATATTTGCAATTAACGTAGTGCACAAAGTCCCGACCTCAATCCGAAGGATAATTTGTGGTCATTCGTAAAGAGAGAGGTGGGATGAACTAATTTAGACGAACTTTGGCATCGGAACTGATGTGATTGGAATAATATTTCGAATGCAATTGTAATATAATTAAGGTACGCTATAGTCTTAAGACCATAATACATAATAACACGATATGGTGCTATTTTGATTTTAAATATTGCAAAGAAATAAAATATTCAATTTTTTCTTATATTTAATGCGCCCTTTTGGATTCATTTTAATTGATTTTCAAAATCTGATTTCACAGTTGTAATCAGTGGCCATAGCTCTACAAAATGTTTTCCAAAATAATTTTATTAATTCAACTTTTAAGAAATTTTATCCCAGTTTTCGGTTCACCCAATAACATTTTTACTTTTTTTTGCAGAATCATAATAAGCGCCCTCGGTGTCTGGTAGTTAGTTATTTCATAGAACTCACTGCTCTAACTTTGGCCAAAAAATGGGATATCTGGCCCATAGTGCTGGGTATCTATAGTTTTGTATTTCGTTGCATCCTGACAACAAATTCCTATGCATAGCCCCGCATATAAATGTTCATATTAAGTTCATTTGTATGTAAAAACAAATGTCGAAGTTGTTCCTATTTTTTGGTTTATTATTGATTTTAAAGAATCCTTGTTTGGAATTTTTCTTGTTCGACAATCTAATTGTTCCCAGAAATTCTCAATGGGTTTGAGATTGGGTGTAAATGTTGATCGATATAAGGCAAATACACACTGTAATCGGATAAATGTTGTGAATTTTTGTGTAATTTAGAAAAAAATCCATCGTAAATATATATGAAAGATTTATTAAAATCGGAATTCATTTGAACGGAACTACGTACTCGCGATTATAGACACAATTTGGTACACTGTTTAAATGGTAGCTACGTCTAAATCAGAACCGATTTAAAACTTAATTTACATCATTCGATGTTAAAGTCGGGATGATATGAAAAGTTAGTTTCAATCGCGCAAAGGGTTTGATATTTGGAAAAGCATTGAGATGAAATCGGCAAAAAATATACATGAGAGCCGATTTTCTCTAATTTTGGATAATACAAGCGACATGTACTTTGTTTACAATAATACATGGACATACGGACGGACATGCACATTTTTTTAGGAAACTGGCTGATATAAACATAGAAATTATCTTATTATCTAAGTGGTTGCTGTCTTTGGTAATATAGTTAACTCACAAACCAATAATTGAAATATAGAGTAAATTTATCTTTATCGTATCTGTCAGATACTTATCTTTAAATGTATATTTATGAAATAATAACAGAACAAGTTTGTATCTTAAAGATACAAACATTTCCTACTGTATTCAAAAAATGAACAATTGAAATTAATCATTTCTTTTTCTGTATTCTCTTTACATTTGTATATTTCACTAAATAAAATTATAAATATGTTTATCCCTAGAACAAAATTTAGCTAACAAAAATATATAGGGGGTGTATGTACATAATTAGTGTAGTTGCTATTAAATCTAATTAGAATCCATCTACAGAGTAAAACATTAGCGTTCCATTTTCATTGCAGTAACACGCCACATAGGGTATTGTCAGCAAGAATTCTCCCACGCCGAGAGATCCACAACGCATTGGAAATTTTTCACCAGTCAGTTGTCTATAGCTTTCTAGAAAAAAGTAAAAAACAATCAAATTAATAGGAGGTAATGGAAAATTTTCGAAATTCATATTGGAAATTGGGTAAATTTCGACTTACCTTTTATATCCGCCATACACATGGCATCACGAGGATGACGTAGGGGTCGTAAAATGGTTTCCAAATCACTGTCAATATTTGGATACTTTTTGCGAATTTTAATGAAATAATGGAACATAACATCAATATTGGATGACATATTTATGTGGAAAATTTATTTTATTTTTATTATTTTTGTGGATAATGTCACTTATTTCAAAACAATATACTGAAATATTTTATTCTGAATATATTTTCCAATTTCTTTTTTTTTTTCTTTTTGATGTTACAACGTCACGAGTTGAAGTTAGACTAGCTGGTCTCGTGCCACTTTCTTCTGCATCGACCGCTGCAAGTGCATGTTAGCAACAACAACAAAATAATGTTTCCCTCCCTCTCACTCTCGCACTCGCACACATATCTAGGTTTCTTTTTTGTACACTTTTACACAATTAGAAATGGTACCTGAGAGAGCGCTGATGGGTTTTATTGCACCGGTACCGGTCGGTTGTTATCAATCATTCTTTGTGCGTGGGGTGTTGGTCGGCTGGTTGGTGGTGGATTGCCTCGTTGCATTTATAAGACCCGAAAAAAGTGGTGGAAATTGAAACACACGTTTTGGAAGCTGAAAAAACAGCTGTTAGGTCAGGTTATGTTTTCATATGCCGCTAGAATACCAACCCACCACCATATGTCGTTGAGCTGTTACACCACCTTTAATTGTGGTGGTAGTTCATACGAGTTTAATAGTAGCTTGGTATATCCAGTGTATTTTGCAAACTCATCTAAATAAACATTTCCTGTCCTGTTTCTATATAGACATATCCGACTATCTGTCGGTTTTAATCAATCAATTCTGTAAAAGAAATAAGATAAATTTTCAATCCGTAGGTCAAGTTCGGAGATGGGTTCACATTTAGGTATAAACCAAAATACCTGGGTTGTGTATATTGAGGATTTCGGGCACCCTTTTCATTTGATAGAAAAAACTCCGAAATATCATAATCATAGGTCCAACAAAATTGTTTGTTTGTTTGTAACAGGCAAACGGAAACGAGATAGACACATGGTTCCTTTTGAGAATTAGCATAGGATCACTTTCTGAGTCGATTTATACATGTCCGTCCGTCTGTCTGTCCATGTTAAATTGTAAAAAAGTACAGGTCGCATTTATGATCCGAATTGAATGTAATTTGGGACAACTCATATATTTGGCCCATGGAAGAACCTATTGAAATTGGAAAAAATCCGTTCAGATTTAGATATAGCTTATATTATACCCTCCACCATAGTATGGAGGGTACATTAGTTTTGTTTTTCCGTTTGTAACGCATCGAAATAATCATTTCCGACCCTATAAAGTATATATATTCTTGATCAGGGTAAAATTCTATGACGATATAGCCTTATCCGTCTGTCTGTCTGTTGTAATCACTCTAGCGTCTAAACGAATTGAGATAGATCGCCAAAATTTTGCATAGAGTCGTCTTTTGTCTGCACGCAGGTCAAGATCGATGACGGGCTTTATCGGTCCACGTTTAGTCATAGCTCCCATATAAGGGTACCCCCAAATGTTCGGTATTTTGCGGTTCTTGAACGCATTTTTCAACCGAATTCGACGAAATTTGGTTTATTAAGTTCTTATTGGGTAGAAAATCTCTCCACTGAAAATTATAAATATGGGTCCATATTTTCGGATAGCCCCCATATAAGGGTACCTCTAATTTTGCGGTATTTTGGGTTCTTCAACGCGTTTTTCAACCGAATTCGCTGAAATTCGGTACTTTGAGTTCTTATCGGGTAGCAAATCTCTATACTAGAAATTATAAATATTGGTCAATTTTTTCGGGTAGCCCCCATATAAGGGTACCCCCCAAGTTTCGGTATTTTAGGGTTCTTGAGCGCGGTTTTCAACCGAATTCGCTGAAATTTGGTACATGGGGTTCTTATTGGGTAACAAATTTCCCCAATAAAAATTATAAATATAGGTCCACTTTTTCTGGTAGCCCCCATATAAGGGTACCTCCCAATTTCCATTTTTTGGGGGGTTTTGACCAGATTTTTTCACCGAATTGGCTGTAATTTAGTAATTTGAGTTCTTATTGGGTAGCAAATCTCTCCACAAAAAATTATAAGTATAGGTCAATTTTTTCGGGTAGCCCCCATATAAGGGTACCCCCCAATTTTCGATATTTTGAGGTTCTTGAGCGCGTTTTTCTACCGAATTCGCTGAAATTTGGTATTTTGTACTCGTATATGGTAACAAATCTCCCCACCAAAATTATTAATATTCACCCCTTTTTAGGGGTAGTTCCCATATAACCCCCTTTTTATATTAAATGGTTTACATAAATCGGTTTACATAAATCGGTTTACATAAATCGGTTTGTAGAATTATCGATATATGCCCACTCTTTGGTATGTTCCCTATATTTTCATTGCATGTCAGTATAATTATGGTGGAGGGTATCCAAAGTTCGGCCCGGCCGAACTTAACGCTTTTCACTTGTTATATTTTCGTCCGATTTTATGTAATTGTTGTACCAAAATCTCTCTATATCTTTCGATTTGCACGAAATTTGGCACATCCTACTGTATTATGTCTAGAATGATGTGTGTTAAGTTTCCTGGAAATTTAACACACATTTTAAGTAAATGGTGCACCAAACACCTGATGTTTGTCCGATTAACACGACATTTTGCACAACGTATCAATGTTATGTTTGTCTGTATGTTGTATTCACTGTAGAGCTTTCACTGTATATATTGATATATTAAATTTAAATACATTGCTATATGTTCAAGATCGTCAATTTGACAGATTTTGGTTGCCATCAATTTTCGGACAAATATCTTTATCAATTAATATAATTATCGAAATAAAATATGTTTACTCTACTTACTATATTTAACACAAGTACAGGACGTTTTCGTCGTTAATAACATTTTACGGTAAAAACCCAAAAAAATCTTTTACAAGAAAAACTTGCACACACGGAGTCGGAATCATTTGTGTTCCATCACATCCCCATATTAATATGAATATTTGCAATTTCCTCTATATTATATTTTAAAGCAAAATGACAAGGGTTGAAGTCATCAAAACCACATCACAGGGGTGAAAAATGTGATGAATATCCGTGAATTGCAGGCATGGTTAATGCATTACACATTTGCCGCCGCTTGGACACCCCTAAAAATGTGAAATGTTATCTAGAGACTGACATGAATTTTTTCATCCGTTGATTATTTGCATAACAATTTGATACACATGAGCAGTTTGGTACACCATTTTCTTAAAATCGGACGAAAATATATATAACCAGTAAGGAAAGTAGTTAAGTCGGACTGGGCCGACTATATGATACCCTTCACCACTATTGTATACTGTACATATGTATCCTAAAAATTGCATGTCTATGTTCCCTCTTTTTCCAACCTATCATAACTTTAATTTCATTCGAGAAGATTTAGAGCCGCCTTCGTAACATGGGGAAAATTTTTGGAAAACCGCCTTGTTAAAAATATAATCTATATGTGGGTGCTATATAAATCTGAACCGATTTTCACGAAAATTAACACACATCTCTCTAGACTTAATTCAGTACGCTTTGCCAAATTTTGTGCAAATCGAAGGATATATATAGGAACCTTGGTGCACCATTTACGAAAATATATATGGGAGATATGTCGAAATCTAAACCGATTTTCCTGAAACTCACCACTCATCATTCTAGACTTAATTCAGTACGCTATGCCAAATTTCGTGCAAATCGAAGGATACAAAAGGACTTTGGTGCACAATTTACGGAAAATCGGAAGAAAATATATATAGAAAATATATCTAAATCTGAACCCATATCCACGAAATTTAACACACATCATTTTAGACTTAATTCAGTACGCTGTGCCAAATTTCGTGCAAATCGAAGGATATATAGGGACGTTGGCGCATCATTTACATAAAATCGGATGAGCATATATATGAGAGCTATATCGAAATCTCGACCGATTTTCCCGAAACTCATCATTCTAGACTCAATTTAGAACTCTAAGCCAAATTTTGTGCAAATCGAAGCATATAAAAGAACTTTAATGCATTATTTACCTAAAATCGGACGAAAATATATATGGGAGCTATATCTAAATCTGAACCGATTTTCACAAAATTTAACACTCATCTTTCTAGACTTAATACAGTACGCTTTGCCAAATTTCGTGAAAATCGAAGTATATATAGAGACTTTGGTATCTAATTTACCTTAAATCGGACGAAAATATATATGGGAGCTATATCCAAATCTGAACCGATTTTCACGAAACTTAACACACATCATTCTAGACCTAATTCATTACGCTGTACCAAATTTCGTGCAAATCGAAATATATATAGGGACCGTTTACATTAAATCGGACGAAAATGTATATGGGAGCTATATCTAAATCTGAACCGATTTTTCCCAATTTCAATAGGGTTCGTCCTTGGGCCGAATAAGTGACCTATGCCAAATTTTATCCAATTCGGATTATAATTGCGACCTGTACTTTGGTTACAATTTTACATCTACAGAGGGACGGACTGACGGACATGCATAAATCGACTTAGAAAGTGATTATATGAATATTCTCAAAAGGAACTATGGGTCTATCTCGTTTCCTTTTGCCTGTTACAAACATATGCACAAAGACATAATTCCCTGTACCACAGTGTGGTGAAGGGTATATATAACCAAAAAGTAATTCATTAAAAAAACCAGTAAGTAAAGTAGTAAAGTCGGACTGGGCCGACTAAATATGTATCCTAACAGACGTCGCCTTTTCGAAGGAACATTGACATTAAATTCAACGAACTTAAATCTAAATCTAACCCGATTTTTTCGGGACTTAACACACGAGCTATGGAAGGGACAGATATCTATATCAAAGACACGAAATTCCTCATTAACATGCAGATCAACAACAACATCAAGTAAGTGTAAATAAAAATACAGAAAAACCACAAAAATTCTGTAAATACATTTGTCATGAGCGAAAAAATATATAAAAGAGGTTGTTAGAAATACTTCAACGTACAAAACACTCAATTATGGTAACTTCAGTACATTGTACGAAATTGTGTGCCAGTCGGCAAAACTTTAGGTCTTTAGTGCACAATTTACAT